AATATATGCAGTGTGTTATTTGTTGAAACTGTACTTCCGATTTGATTTGAAACTGTCTCATTGCTATCTGTTTATCAATAAAATTTTGAAAAAAGAAAGTATATATACATATGTGTAAGTATTTCTACATTAGGGATAGATTCCAAAACTAGTACTTACATTCGTATTGTGTGCAAATGTAGCCTGAATGCTGAATGTTCCTATATGTGTGTTTTAATATGTTTACTTTTGATATCGTTCAGGTTTTAGCTTTTCATAATACCTAACCTCATCAGAGCCCTTCCCTCTGCTCTTGTTACTTGGTAATTTCATCAGCTGTGACTTTATTGGCTTTCTGTTATGTTTTCTTTTTTTCTGAATTAGAGAAGAAAACACAAAGATTTACTTAAAATTATATTTAATTTTAAGTATGTTTTTTAAGTATGCTTAGTGTTTTAAGTATGTTTAGTGTTTTAAGACTATAAGGGGACCAAGAGATGGAAGAATATTCACTTAAAATTATAAAATCTAGACATATTGGGATATGTTTAAAATATTTTTATGTTGTTTTGCTAAAATCTGAAGTTTTATAAGCCTACTTTATTATTACTTCAAGGAGTACTATAAAATTGTAATTGTCAACTTTATGCAATAAACTCAAAATTTCTATAGTCTCAGCAATTATTAAAATTACCTGAAAATTAATTCATTGTTTTCTCTTTTTATAAAAGTATTTTTGATTCAAAGAGTAGATCTTAGATCAGCCCAAATATGCATTTTTTGATCTCTTTATATCAACTATTTGTTAAGCCTATATTTTTAACTTGTAGTTTACCTATATCAAAGTCATATTAGGCTTTAATAGTTTCGAAGTATGAGAAAATGTCATTATGGATAATCACCCTTGGGTTAATAAAAAATTAAAGTGGCAGTTTAAAATTTATATTTGCTTTGAATTTCTAAAAACTATTCTGAAAATATGAAAAGCAGAGTTTGTACAGTATGTTGTCGGCTATCTCAATAGTAGATTCTTTTGTGTTGTTTTCATTTGGTAGCTTTCATAGACACTTTTGAGGAAACTAAGAATCAGGAACTGGAACGGAAGGCGCATTTAGAAGCCAGCATTGTTGCACTTTTGGAGCACTGTAGTAGGGTAAGTGCCATATGCCTAGCTGGGTGTCCTCATTATTTTTACTGTGACTAACTTTGCACATACAAATCCTGAAAAAGAAGGCTACTAATTATTATATCTGCCTACTTAAACTGTTTCCTTTACAGTCTCAGTTTTTGCCATTTTACTCCTTTGTACTATTAATTTTTGTTTCTCAAGCAAGGTCTTAGCTATTAGGGCAATGGCGAAAAGTGACATATGTACATTGTCAATATTCGGAACCAGGGCACTTTATAGTAATTATATTTTTCCATTGTTACTTCATCTGAACTTACAGAATATTCACTTAAAATTATAAAATCTAGACATATTGGGATATGTTTAAAATATTTTTATGTTGTAATTTTTCTTCTCTGTGTACCTGGTAAGTATCTTGACTTACCAAAAATGTTGATTGAGCATCTATTATGTGTGTGATATTATAGGAGTAAAAATACATGATGCTTTTTAAGTATGTTTAGTGTTTTAAGACTGTAAGGGGACCAAGAGATAAAAGAAGGAGAGAACAGGGTGAAGTAAAAAGGACTGGCAAATGTAATGTATACATACATGTAATATATGTGTAGTAAGTGTAATGTACCTGTACCATAATGAATTTAGTAATCATCATGTATTACAAACATGTAGCAATTAATATTTTAAAAGTTAAAAAACTGAGGAAAGTCATGCTAATGCCTACTTCCTTGGTTCCCACAGTGGTAGAAACAGCGTGTAGAAGTTGTTGGGTAACAGTTGGGGTAAAGATGTGGAGAGAACGGAAAAGAATGTCTCAGAGACATTCTTCAACTTGAGATGCTATCAGACATTTTTGGACTATTTATGTGTTGACAGCATTTTAGCACTGTCAGGGTCAGGTATCAGGAGTTGAATCCAGGATCTATACACTGAGCTATATCCTTCAGCCCTCTTTTGGTTTTCAATTTGAAGCAGGGTCTTTCTGAGTCACTACACAGATAAACTGCCCAGACCAGGCTTGTGAAGTTGCGACTTCCTACCTCAGCCTCCCAGATTGCTGGGATTATTGGTATGTGCCACCATACCCAGTGTCAGCATTTTATATATAAGGTAGTTTTTTTTTTTTTGGAGGGAGTTATCTTTTTTTCTCTCTTGCTTCTCCTCCTCTTCCTCCTCGTGTGTGTGTGTGTGGGGGGATTGAATCCAGCATCTTCCACATGCTAGGAAAGTGCATTACCATTTAGCTACACAGGGGCCCTGTCCATATTTATATAGCCTTTTAACAAACTCAGAAGATAGAAGTTAGCTCATTTTACTGATGAATAAATGGAGACTTGAACACTGATCTGCATGGCTTCAAGCCCAGTTCCCTTCTTAAAGCAGTTTTGGCTCAGGTGGACATTAGAGTGGGGATCACCTTCATGGAAAACTTGTGCCCTGTCCTGTGGAGCCTGGCTTCTAGCTGATCCATAATCTCCAGGGCACTAAGATCTCTCCTTATGAGATGACTGTATGCCTGGCCTCCTCTACCCTCATGTACCCCGTTCCAGCCATAGAAACTCAAGCATCATCCACTGAAATCACTGGTTTAACCGTGAACCTAACTCAGGTCCTCAAAGGTTATAGATCACCTAGCAACAAGTGTCTTAACTTTCTTCCTAAAACACAATTCTATTTTTTTTATTTTAAAGAGAATACAGAAATAATAGATATGACATTAGAAATGATACAGAATTTTAAAACAGATGGTGGGTATTCAACAGTGGTTGTCATTGCTGTCTTCAATGTAGTTGCTCAGATTACAGATATATATATGCATATAACATTGGTCAAAATAAAAATTTTAAGCATTAATTTTGCTACCTTCAAAAAACTGATAGAAATCAGCAGTACAGTCATATTAGCTATCATATACATATTCATATATTTGATTTCCCTCCTAAACACAGAGATTCTTATCAGAGAGCTTTGGCCTTTGATCTGCCACCCCAAAGCAATAAATATTTTTTACTGTTTGTTTCCTGATTACCTGTTTTACTCAGAACCCATTCAGTTTCTTTAAAAAGTTAATACAAGTGATGCTATTGAAATGTATAAAGCACTTAATGATAGTTTCTTTTTGATTTTCATTTTTTGCTAGTACTGTGTGTATATAATGACCACATTCCTTGTGCGAGTGGGAACATGTACATGACATAATCACATTTTTTCCATCTCCTCTTCCTCTACCTCTTGCCTCCCTGTACCACTTGGTCCCCTTCCTATTTGCAAAAACACCTATCTCCCTGCTTCTATTATCTATCTATCTTTTATCCCACTCTTTGTTTTTGTTTTGCATTTCTCATATAAGAGAAACCATACAATAGTCAAGCTTGTTGTCTCATTTGTTTCACTAAACATTATAGTCTCAAGGTGCATCCATTTTTCTACAAACGACTCACATTTATCCATCTGTATGGCAGAGTACTACTTTGTTGTGTATGAATACATTTTCTTCAAATATTCATCTGTTGATGAACATATAGCTGCTCCTAAGATTGTTTTCTCTTACGAATTATGCTGCTATAAATATAGGTGTACATGTATCACTACAATATGATGTCTTTAACTCTTTTAAGATGATACCTAAAAGGGCAATAGATGGGTTGTGTGGAATTTCTAGTTTTAGTTTGTGAGGAATCCTCATGCTAATTTCAATAATAGTTGTTCTAGTTTACATTCTCACCATCAAGGTAGGAGGGTTATTTTTTCCGCCATAGCTTCTCTGGCATTTGTCATTATTTGATTTCTTCATAATAGCCATTCTTTCTGGGGTAAGATGGAATGTCAGCGGTCTTTTAATTTGCATTACTTTAATGACCAGAGATGTCATTGAACATTTTTGCATGTATTGGTTGGCCTTTGAGGTAGTCTATTTAGTTGCCCGTGTTTTGAATGAGTTTTTCATTTTTAAGGATTTTTTTTTTTTTTTTTGGTTTTCATTATATTTTTAGATATATTTTTTGTCAAAGAGTGATGGGCTAAATTTTGTTCCATTCTGTAGGTTGATTCTTCACTCTGTTGGTTATTTCCTTTGCTGTGCAGAAGCTTTTGAATTTGGTATAGTTCCATTTGCTTATCACTGACGTTATTTCTTGTGCAAATTGAGATTCTGTTCAGAATATCCCCTACCTATACCTGTGTCTTCAAGAGTTTCACCTATTTTATCTTGCAGCAGATTATATCTGTTTTAACATTTGAATGTTTGATCTGTTTTGATTTTAGTTTAGTGCATGGTGAGATACATGGTTATGGATTCAGTCCTCTCTGTATGTGGGTAGCCAGGTTTGCCAGCACCATTTATTAAAGAAGCTTTCTTCCAGTGTATGTTTTGCCCCTTTGTCAAAGATCAGATAACTCAATGTACCTAAGGTTGTTTCTGCATCCTCTATTCTGATCCTGTGATCCACTTACAGTATCTGCTTTTGTGCCAGTACCATGCTGTTTTCTCACTGTGGCCTTTGTATGATAATTATAAATGCAGGCTTGTGATGTCTTCCACTTTGCCTGTTACTCAGGGTTACATTTGTTATTACGGATCTCCTCTGGTTACATGTGAATTTTATGTTGTTTTCTCTAATTCTGTGACAGTTGTTTTTGGCATTTTGATTAGGATTATGTTAAAGCTGTATATTAGTTTTCAAAATATGGCCATTTGAAGATACTGGCTCTGCCTATTTAGGAACAGGAAATATCTTTCCATTTTCTGGTGTCCTCTTAGATTCAGAGTACAGTACTATAGCTTTAATTCTAGAGTTCTTTCAGTTCCTAGGTTAATTTTTCTAAGTATTCAGTTTTCTTGATACTGTTGTCTTGTTTTCCAATTTCTTTCTCAGCAAGACCATTATTGATGTAGAAGAATGTTATTATTTTTTGTGCATTGGTCTTGAAACCTGCTATATTATTGAATTTAGTTATTCTAGGAGTCTTTTGATAAAATTTTTTGAGTCTTTGTGTAGAGGATCATGTCATCTGCAAATAATAATTAGACTTCTTCCTACATCTCTTTTTGTGGGGAATCATACAGACTACATCAAAAATCAGGGCATCAAATCTAAGGAGACCTGAGGATATGCCCCTATTTAGCAGAAGCACACAGTACAATACAATTGTGTAACCAGGACTTAGCATGGGTAAACATGCACGTGCTGGTTGTAGCACTATGTGAGACGGTAAGTATGAGATAAAAACCTGTATAGGAGTTATACACTAAAGACGAAGTGGCTCTTGCACTTTTGCACTCTGCTGTGTTCCATGCTGCCTGCTGTTGTTGCTGATACTTTGCACATGTGTGTTCTTTAACCTGGATCCTCACTGGTGAAAATCTCTGTTGGGCCCATGAAGCAGCTTGATACTTCTTTCTTTGTCTGATTGTACTTGCTAATGTTTCAGAGTACTATGTTGAATTGGATTGATATAGTAGACAAACTTGCCTTATTTCTGATTTTTAAGAGAAAGGTTTTATTTTTCCCTTTTGAATATGATGTTGGCAGTAAGTTTGTCATATGTGGCTTTTATCAGATTGATAAAATAGAATAAAGTCCTTATGTACCTATTTGCCTCAAGGCCTTTATTGTCAGTGGAGTTTGAATTTCATTAAAGACTTTTTTGCATCTGTTGGTTTTTTTTTTTTTTTTTGTTCCTCGAATGCCTTCAGGGCACTTTTGGACAGCGTGAGAGTTGTGAGGTTCAAACTGAAGCAACCTGAGGCTGACAGCTTTGTGGAAGCAGCCACATAAAGGACTGAGCTAGAGCCAGGCCCCCCTGCATCTGTTGGGATGATCCTGTTTTTGTCCTTTTTATGTGTTGTATTACATTTATTAATTTGTGTGTGTTGAGCCATCGTTGCCTTCTTTGGCATGTGTTCTACCATGTGGCTACTCCTGCAACCCATCCTAACCTACTTGGGATACAGCCTTTATCTTAACTCTCTTCCCTGTTTCTCATCTTGTATGGATTAACTTTTCAAATTCTTCTTTTTCTAATTCTCTGATACACTGAGACATTTCTTTACCAGTGTAACTGTTCAGCTTGGTTGTAGCTCAGTGTTCAAGCATTCACCTGTTGTGCACAAGGCCACAGGTTTAATTTTTTTTCTATTACTCACCCTCCATATCTCCTCAGATGATATTTGACAAGAATATGAGGCATTGGGGCTGGGAAGATAGCTCATTGGTCTAAGCACCTGCCTGGCAAGCACAAGAACCTGGGTTCAATCCCCGGTACTGCATGCTATGCCGGCACTGGAACCCAGGCACACTATGCTGTCCACCAAAACCAGGTGTAGTGGTGCATGCCTGTAATCACAGCACTGAGAAGGCTGAGGCAGGAAGATCACTATGAGTCTGAGCTGCGTGGTGAGACCCTGTACCAAAGAAATATTTTATTTCATTTTTTTAGGGAAGAGTCTATAGGGTGTTCAGAGTCTCACTACTAGATCGGACTTATAGTGATCCACCTGTTTACAGCCTCCCAAGAGCTGGGATTGCAGGTGCACGCCGCCATGCCCAGTCTCAATTGCAGTCTCAGTGTGCCCCAGGGGCAGGACCGGCACAGCAGGCCTGGGGATTGAACCCCTGGCTCCTGAGCCTGCTTGCAGGCCAAATAAATAAACATTAAAAAAAAAAAATGAGGCAGCTGAAATTGTTATAGTACACTGCTTTGGGAAACTAGCCATTGCTTATAAATTGAACATGGATCTGCTATAAGATCCAGCAATAAATTCTAGCCAGTTATCAAAGACAAAAGAAAATCTATATCTACGAAAGATGTACATGTTTGTTTATACCAGCTTTGTTGGGAAATAGCCTAAAACTAGAAGTGTACCAAATGGCCATTAACTGAGAAATGAATTAACAGTTTGTCACAGATCCACATAATGAAATACTGCTGAGGGAAGAGGAAGCCATGAGGGATTTATGAAGTATTGTGGATGAATCTCAAAAATGTTATGTTGAACAGATTTACCCAGGCTCAAATCCCATGTACAGTGATTCCAGTTACATGAACTTCTGTCGCAGATACAACAGAAATGAGATAATTTTGGGGCTGGTTAATGAGGGTTGGCCACAAAGAAGCATAGGGATCCCTCAGCTGTGGGTTCCTGTAGTCACCCAGAGCTGTTTCACAGGTGTGTGCCTTTGTTAAAACCCAAATTACATTTTATTTTATTTATTTATTTATTTATTTATTTATTTATTTATTTATTTTGCTGTAATGGGGATTGATCTCAGGACCATGTGCTTGCCAGGCAAGTGCCTATTCTACTGAGCTATCTCACCAGCCTTCAAACTACACTTTAAATGCATACATTTTTTATACGTAATGCTAATTTAGAAAATAAAACTAACAAGAAAAGATTATAACCAGTTCCTGAAATAATGAAGTTCAATTTTTTTCTGCAGTAAAATAGAACAAATGAGTAAACAATAGAAATTTAGTTTTACTTATTGAGAAAGCCTGACTTTATATTTTGCTGTTATTCTATAATACATCAAAATTGAATCATGTATTAAAAAACTAATAGCTGATTAAAACATGTCTTCCTATCAGGCAGTATTTCTCAATGGTTTTATGGAGACTTAAGTCAGTGAAATTTTTTTTTCTATTTTTCTTTTCCCTAAAATACAGAATATAAATCGTATGAAACAGATATCTTCTATTACTAATCAAGAACTAAAGATGATGCAAGATGACCTTAATTTCAAATCTACTGAAATGCAGAAGTCACAGAGTACAGCTAGGAATTTGACTTCAGGTGAGAACTAGTCTAAACTTGCATACTTTCTTTTTCTGTAGCAAATTCGACCTTTAAAAATGTGATGTTGTTATTATTCTCTTGGACTTTTTGTATAAACCTCATTGAGGGAAGATGTAATTTATGATTGCCTATTACCCTGATCATTGGTAGTCTTGATTTTGTGTAACTTTTCCCATCAATTTATTAATATTATGTTGGTTTATTTTCTTTTATTTAATGCTTATTTAATACAGACTTTCCTGACCTAAAATGGTTTAACTTGAGAATTTTTAAAAAACTTCACAGTGCTGTGTTTTAATCTGTACTTCAAATTTTGGGTTTTAATCTTATTTTGGGCTGATGGTAATGTAGTTTAATGCTCTCATGATGCTGGGCAGTGTGCCGTAGCTTCCAGTTAGCCAGTCACGAGGGCAAGCCACTAATATTCTGTAGTGAACTCTCTTGCTAAGCTGTGAGGCTTAGTAGGTTAAGTATATAGTAAGTGGCTTTTTTACTTAAAATATTTGCAACCTATGATGGATTTATTTAAAAGTACCCCTGCATTTCATGCCTGTACTTTATCCTGGGAATTGTCAAAGGTAAAGCTGGATGCTAAAGTAGTAGGAAAAATTTTAATCTGTAATATGGTAATATAGTAGGAAAGAGGGCTCAGTGTGAATTGAATTCAACTTTAGTTTGTACAGAGGTAACTGGGCATTTTAGAAGGGTATTTCATAATACTCAGAAGATAACAATATGCAATGTATTATTATTACTCTCCTATTCATTTTGAAATTCTGTTTTCTATTTATTTTTAAAATTAAGAGAGGATGAGGCAGGGTTCAGCAGAGTAAGGGAACTGAAAAATTACCAAGGGCTTGTTATTGTACAGTAAGTGCTGATTAGGCTAGCTGCTAACTGCTGCCAGTTAGCAAAGTTAGGACTTTGTCTTCCCATAAAGACTAGAAGACAGCCCCTTATCTCCTGATGATTACTTTACAAAGGAATGGCTCTCAGATCCTTGAGAAACCAGTCCTGCTTTTGTTAAGGGTGTATGGGTGGATCTCAAAGGGTCAAAGGAAGGACTGATAATTATAAGCTCTTTTGTTTTTGTATATGTGTGTGTATATTGGAGGATATTGAGCATTGAACTCAGGGTCTTCATACTGAGCTACATTGCCCCACCTCTATTATTATTATTATTATTATTATTATTATTGTTATTATTATTATTATTATTTTCTGTAGTGAAATAGAGCAAGTGAGAAAACAGTAGGAATTTAGTCTTATTTATTGAGAAAACCTGACTTTAAATCTTAGTGTTACTCTATAAAACATCAAAATTGAATCACATATTGAAAAACTAATAACTAATTAAAACATGTCATCCTATTTCCCAGTGGTTTTATGGAGAGTTAAGTCACTTAAGTTGCCCTGAGTGGGCTTGAATCTGTGATCTTCCTGGCACAGCCTTTCATATTGCTTCACAATTATGCCATGTTTGTAAACCCATTTTAGAAATACTTTAGGAAGTGTAGTGAAGGGTCTGTTGTCTTGGATTTGTTAGAATAAACAGTAAATTCTTTTGGCTTTTTTGGGTTATCATAGACAAGACTTTCAGGGCAGGTGGGGTGGTCTTAGAGAAATTGGAGTTAAGATGTTAAAGTAACATGTTACAATCATGTTAGTGTTTGTTTAACATATTCATGAGGTTGTAATTCACATGTCTCATGCCGGTGGCTGGAGTGGTACATGTCTGGCTGTCCTGTTGGGCAGTTTGTACTATTTCTCAGGGGTACTGTAATTTTCAATGTATTGATCTTTTACTTCTGTTGTTAGATTGATTCCTAGGTATTTCATTTTGGGGGATGCTATTGCAAAGGATGAGCTTTCCCTAATTTCTCT